ACGACATTACGTCAAAAGTTGATTATATCGTTATATTTAATTTTCCAACTATCAACAACGTAGCTTTGAAGTTATGGTGCAATTCACTGTCGTTTGTCATGTTCTTACTAATTGTATAGTGCAGCAAATATGTTCGAATAGAGGTATTTCTTGGATGAAACCGTAATAATTGAAAGGCATAGATTCGAGTCTTCTTTTCATTCTATCAATCTGGCTTTCACACACAGGTCACGTGATTGCGATCGTTCCCAATTAAATATACTATTGATTCATTATGTGTTATATTCAATGTTCGGAGTCATTCGAAGTTCAAAGTGGCGTTTGATTGCGTATACTAGTATTGTAATCGCACAATGACATCACACAGAGATAATACAACAAAGAAAAATGAAATATTCGGAATGTTAAAATTACAAAAGAGTTTTTATATACATGTATTACAAACGACGCATGAATCAATACGATATTGTGAAATACGTGAATTGAATGTCCAGTGGCGTTTTGTCTTACACTCACCCTGTCGCCCAAACACACCAAGAGGACTAATTTATAGAGTTTCGGCCAGTGTTTTGCAGAATGCGGGTTTTTTCGTCTTCGCACATGTTTCCTCACAAACAATAACTGGTGAATACGATTAGTTTATTTATGTCATTGTGTTAATAACTTGTTAATACATTAATAAAGCCTTTATTGCAGCCCCCTGGTACATGGCACGACAAGCACGGCATATATATTGTCATCTACTAATAACGTGTGCGTTACGATCACGACCTATTTATTATTTTCTATTTTTTAAAGGGGAACCGCTCAATCCCATGGATTGCACCAAAGAATCATGGGACACTATTGTTTATGTTGTTTACAATGTTAATCTATCTTTTGTTATCCATTGTTATTTTAATCCAGAAAGTAAATTTGTTGTGAAATTAATCTTAACTGGAAGGTGCCCCTTTAAATACGACTGAAAACAGAAAAAAAAAAACAGAATGTGTTATCGGGAAAGCCTATTGTTTTCTTTCGCAGATCATTCTGATGATGTCGGAAATGATAATACACACCGCGTGACGATTACATTGTATATATTTGTAGATTGAATAAACATCTGGGGGATTAACATTTTAGTTTATTCAAACTGTGATTGACGGGTATTTTGCATATATTAGCCGCTATTGTAAAACAGCGTTGTTCACGTGCGTGTCACGGTACATTTCGGTCGCAAAGAACCATGGGTGAAATTGTTAGCGCATATATTCATGGTCCTACCGAGATATGTTCGGAGTCATAAGTAGGCCTCAAAACATCTACCCAGAGCTTGAGTCGAATTAGCATACTCATTTCGGGTGCCATCTTGCTCTCTATATACCCTCGGTTTTGAGAATCAATTGCGGGCACTCACGAACAGACAGTCATAGTTATATATGATGACAAGAAAATCAAAATCTCGGAGCAATAAACGCACTTCAAATTTCAATGTGAATAATATTACAAAAGTCATTTATTGTATGTGTTGGTCGTACTGTAAACCAGAAAAAGCACGTACTTTATTTTTATGATGTCGTTAATGTATGTCACGTACGTACTTCCCCCACCGAAAACAATATGGTCGTATATTTTATCGTAGTTTGCTACGTTCTAAGTTGGGTCGATTGTTGATGACTGTTCAATCGAAACAGTCTTTCAAACATCAATGAGTTCGAACTATGACCGACCCAAGATATATATATCTAAAATTTTAAACTACATAATTCGGTTGCCTACATGTAACAAAACTGTATTTGAAAAAAAAATACAGCTGGCTAAATGGTGAGCTAGTAGTTTAATTACCAATGTAAGTGGATAGTATTTTTAGTATCCGCGATACAGTTCAGCACCCTGACTGGCTTGATTACTACTTGATACATAGACCTTAGAAAGAAGGTCTATGCTTGATACTACTGGGCACAGTCCCTCAACACTGAGGGACTGTGTACTGGGTCAGGCAATGTACACACGTACCGTGAACCTATATTCAGTCAGCCGGTGTGTGTATCACTGTGTATTAAAACATGGAACTACTGTGGGGAAAGTTCTGCAACGTTTCAATGTTTTCGGATTTTACAAATGCAAACGCAATAACACGCGTTTTTATTTACCACTAACTTATTATATCGGTACTCTTCCGTTAAAAACGTCGCTATGGCAGTG